TGCTGTCCCCGTCCTGGGGGCGCACTGAGAATGTGATTGAGACTAGGAGTGGTGGCATGGACCTGTAATCCCAGCTCTCTGGGAGGCTGAAAACAGGAGAATCACTACAAGTCTGATCTATGTAGTGAGACCATATATATATATATATATATATATATAACTCCTACATTTGTCCATCAAAGACTTAGTATTTAGTAATGGACAACTAAATAATGTTCAATATAAAAACAAGTTCAGAGTGAGGGCTATAAAGTGAACTGAAGAAAATAAAGCAAGGTAAACAATAGAATAGTAGGGATGATAATTTACATAGCTTGGTCAAAGATTCTCTCAGGAGATGATACCAAAACAAAAACTTGAATGAAATAAAAGAAAATCCTGTAATTGTGTTATTCATCACACAAATGAGTGTTTCTCCTGGTGCTTGTTAGTTGCATCCTTTTGGTTCTTAGTCACACTTCTTTATATGGGTAGTGAACTATTTATATTTCTATGACTCAATAACCAGATTTTAGTCTGAGGAAATGCTTATGCTTGTGTTCTTTAAGTATTCTTCACTGCTTATATAGTTCCTCTTACTAACTCAGTATTTCTTAGGTGTTTTCTCATTAGGTAGGTAAGTGGAAGTAGAGGTACTTTGAAGAGAAACAGGTATCTGGAAGACCCTATTACAGGAGAGAGGCTATAGTATAAAGAATGAGTCTAAGAATCAGGAAAACTGGAGTTGAAATCCAGTTCACCATTGTCTGTATGGATTTGAATGCATCTTTTAATATTACTGAGTTTACTTATCTGTAATATCAGATGATACGGTTCAATTCACATAATTTTCGTAAAAGTCAAATGAAGTAGTCAATATAAAAGATTATTGAAAATCACTGTTCATTAAGTACTATGTAGCAGCTTGGAATTTCGTAAAAAATAATAGGGATTGATTTTCTGACAGAATTCTTAAACATATTGCCTTATTCTAAGAAACAAAATTGAGAAATTATAAATTTTCATCATATGAATAATAGATAATGAATGCTTATTGTTCTAAGAACCATTCAAGCATAATATGTGCTTAACTCATTTATCACTCATCATGACTTTAAAAAATAAATAATATTTTTACCATCTAATTCATGAAAAAATGAGGCCCAAAGAGGCTAAATAATCTACTTATGGACACATACTGAGTAGTAGAATTATAATTATGATAATTTGACACTTGTGCTCATATTCTTAAATGCTAAACACCATATAATTGTTAGTTAAAACACCAGTGTGTTAGGGCCACCAGATAGCTCAGCGGATTAAAGCGCCTGCTTAGGCAGCAGGGACAGGGCTTGATCCCCAGAGTGTCGGCCCCAACCCTTGGGCATGCTGAGACTGTGATTGAGACTGGGAGTGGTGGAGTGTGCTTGTAATCCCAGCACTTGGGAGGCTGAAAAACAGGAGAATCACTAGGAGTCTGATCTACATAGTGAGACCCTGTAGACCCTGTACTAAATACATACATACAAAAAAAAAAAAAAAAAAAAAGACCAGTATGTCAGAAAATCATGATCTTACACCTTTCTTAAAGGAAAATGATTATAGAACAAGGATATCACAATTTTTTAAAAAGCAATTTTATAACCAAGTATTTAAGAGTGAATAAAAAACCCAAAGTGGTAGGTGCCACACCTGTAATCTCCGCACTTGGGAGGCTGAGGCAGGAGTAACACCCAGACAGACTTCAAGGCCAATCTGGACTCCACAGTGAGTTCAACGCCAGCCTAGACTACATAATGAGACGCTGTAGTGAGATCCTATATAGTGAGATCCTCAAAAAACAAAACTAAACAAACAAAAAAGAATAAAAGTAAAAGACGTTAGTGTCAGTAGGTAACATTACATCTAAAGTTACTACCCAATATTACAACATTAAGGATCATTGACTTTATTATGTAATTTCATAACCTCTTTCTCAAAGCTTACTTACTGTAAAAAAAAGAATTGTAGTCTAATACTGATCAAAGACCAAGAAAGATGCCTAATTTAAGCAGAATGTTTAAGAATGTGAAGCCTGGGGCTGGGGAGATGGCTCAGTAGAATAAGCACTTCTCTGGCAAGTGCAAGGACCTGAGTTCAATCCCTGGTTCAGAAAAAAAAAAAAAAAAATGAAGCCTGTTAACAATAACAAACAGCTAGGATAGATCAGAGCAAATTATCAGTTTAAGTCAGTTGAAAAATCACACAAAGCAATGGCTTTGGTTATCTAAAAAATCAAGATAAAATTTCAATGGCAGAGTTCAATATATAGTAAAAGGAACTTTGTCCTATCAAATTAAAGTCTTTCAGTATAAATTACATCTATAAAGACTAGTAAGTACCACCTTGAAGTATGTATTACGTAGAGAAAAGAACATGGCTATTTACAGAGAGTAAATGATATTTAGTCATTGGGCTTATACATAATAGTTATAATGAAGTTTTGCTGGGTCATAGTTATGTATAAACTATCATATAGAATAGCATTTCAGTACCATGTTTCATTTTACAAATCTAATCTTTTAATTAAAGTTTCTTATTTTTAAGTATAAATACAAATATGGCAGCAAGGTAATAAATGTATTTAGTGAATTAATAGAGAACTAAAATATAAAAATTTGGGGCCAGGGAGATAACTCAGTGGCACAGCACCTGCCTGGCAAGTGCAAAGTCCTGAGTTTGATTTCTGGTTAAAAAGAAAATCTACCTATCTATCTATCTATCTAGATAGATAGATTTTTTTTTTTCTAGGTACATTAGTATTGAGGCCATGTAGTTCCACTATTTGGGAGGCTGAGCCAGGAGGATCACCAGGAGTTTAAGACCAGTCTGAGCCTCAGCAACATAGTGAGATTGTCTCAAAAAAAAAAAAAAAAATTTTACGATGGAGCTGGACATGTTGGTGCACACTTGTAATCCCAGTTACTTGAAAGGCTAAAGCAGGAGGATTGCTTGAGTCCCCAAATTCAAGACCTTGCTGGGTGTGGTGGTATGCCTACAATCCCTACACTTGGGAGGCTGAGGCTTGAGGATCACTGTGAGTTTGAAACCAGCCTAGGCTACAAAGTGAGCTCAAGACCAGCCTGACCTATATAATGAGACCTTGTCTCAAAAGACAATTTTTTTTTTTTTTTTTGGTGGAACCAAGGATTGAACTCAGGCCCTTGAGCTTGACAGAGAAGTGCTTATTCCACTGAGCCATCTCCCTGGCCCTCAAAAGACAAAGAGAATCCCCTACAAACAAACAAACAAACAAAAACCAAAAAAAATCCACAAATAGGATATCATGTCTGCATCTTGTGCAGCAAATGACCACTGGGAAGAGAGTATGCAATGTGTTAATTATTGAAATTGTCCTACCGATTTGATTTAAAAAAAAAAAAATCCCACAACCTGCCCCAAACCAAAACTTTAAAAAACCAAAATGAAACTAATCACTATATACTGATACAAGTAAATAAAATGTAGTCACCACGTTTTCAAGGTAGTAGACTCTTCATATGAATATTAGGCAAAAATATGACTAGGCCAGAAAACATATGCAACAAAGCACATATAACAAAATGGAGAAAAATTAAATTTCATATTCACGTGTATTTTCTTGCCAATCTGGTTGATTCTATTACCTAGTAGCTTCATGAAAATAGGACATCTATGCTGTTTCTTCAAAGAAGCTAACCAGCTATCACTTTTAACTAGCAGAAAACATTAAAGAGATCACTATATTTATTTCAAATAGTGTAACAGTTTCTGTAAGAATAAATCTAAAATTTGCTAGCGCTAAGCTGACTAGACATAAAAGTTTCATTAGTCACCTCCACCATCCAAGTAAATGAAAACATGTGTACAGGCCATGGCTTTATACAAACTCAATTATGTATTAATTAACCCAAGCATCCATTATGCACTCAATAATAGGTATGACACAGTCTGGCTATTAGCAACACCATAAGGAAACAGGCACAGGTAGACTAGTTACATTTCTTTTCCTGGTGTTAATACGCTTTAAGAAGTGAAAAAAGTAGAATGAAACTATCATCATCCTTAGACTCTTAAAGAAGTATTCTAGATCTCTTAAAGAAGTCTCTAGACTCTTAAAGAAGTATTCTAGATCTCTCTTCCCTACTATTTACTGTATTAATAACCAGGCCACAGAATAACGCTGTCTTGAAAAACAATTGCACAGTACTTTAGAAGGAAAAAAAAAAAAAAAAAAGGCGGCACACCGCGGTGGAAACAAGTATCTAAATGCTAATGGTAGTTGTGACTATACAGTAATACAGTGCTGAGCACTAAGGGCTCCATTGAAGGTAGTAGCTACCTTTGTAAGGGGAGCGGGGAGGATGGTCTTGAAACTTTAAATTTGCATGGGTACCATCACGTAACAAACAAAATTAAAAATATTTTTTTAAAAATAGGGAAGCAGGTGATCCCTAGGAAGATACATGGTTGCGTCTTATGAAACAAGAGTCTGATGCGTTGTCAAAGCTGGGTAGTCATTACCACAGCACATCCTTGTGACGCAAGTGTATTATCATCTTAGGCTCATAAATGAAAAACTCGAGGCACTGAATGGTTAGGTCGCTTGCCTCAGAAGATGCGTCACCGCCGGAGTCGGAGCTGCCCGGGCGGGCTTCGCTGCTCCTGACAGCCTGCCCAAGCCTGGTCGGAAGACGAGCGCTGCCCGGACTGGCTGTCGGCCTCAAGCAGAACTAGTTCTGTTCATGTCAAAGCAGAGGACTGCAGCCGCGCGAACAGAACTTCCCACAGTTCTACTCTGGCCGATTTCCCTGTGAGGCCTCCGTCTCAGGGCGCGGAGGACCCGGCCAACGCTCCTGGTCGTGACGAGGGCGGGTGCTCGTGACGAGGGCCCTCGCCGCGTCCTCTCCCGCAGTGATGGCAACAAGCGCCCCGGCGTCAGCGGCCCGGGGTCCCGGCAGGGCTGGCCGTGTTAAAGCACTCCCAGACCGCGTCTCTTTTGAAAACTACAGAAGAAAATGGTGGGAGGTCAAAAGAAAACTAAACACACAAGTAATTAGTTCTAGGGCATTAAATAAGCAAATGATTTATTGAATGTGCTGAGCCTGCAGTTGTCAACCTCCCGGGGAAGATGAGAGGACGAGGCGGCCAAGGGCACAGTAACCGCTGCAGGCGTTAAGTACGAACGCAGAGGACCGGTGCTCACACAGCCGCACGCTAGCTTCTCCCGCGCCGAGAACTGTGGACCGGCTGCCGGCCACGTGACCTCCCTCACGTCTTTGCCTTAAGAAGAGACTCCACTTCCCAGAAGCCTCTCGTTTACCACGCAGCCACAGTCTTGCGCAGGCGCCTCCAAAGCCAAACGGATACGTCCGTCACGTGGACTGTACCCGGCCAATCCGGTTTGAATCTCATTTTTTCCTCTCACCCCCTTCAGGAGCGGTTGTGCGATCAGATCGATCTAAGATGGCGACTGTGGAACCGGTGAGTATAGCCTTTGGCCCCCACCCCCGTGAGTCCCCGCGCTCCTTCTCCTTTTGGACCGGGGCGCTGCACGGGATTGCGCGCCTGCTGCCCCTTGCCCATCCTCCTCCCCCTCCCGGGCTTTAGCTTCCGCGGCAGTCGAGGGTGTCCCGGAGGCTGGCCGAGGCGGCGTGGAGCACACACGTCCCGGTGGGGGCCGGAGACCTGGGAATCGTGGGGGAGGGGCCGCGGCGCCGCCTCCGGGTCCCCGAGGTCTGCCGGGGCGGGCGACCGGGCTCGGCGCGGGCGTTGGGGCTGTTCGTGACGGGCGGGCGCGGGCCCGCTCCGAACGGACCCCGGGAGCCGCCGGGAGGGTGGGTGGGTTTGAGCCGGTTTGAAAGGAGGTGGAGGAGGGAGCCAGGCAGCCTGTCTTCCCCTGCCTCCCGCTCTGCGTCCAGTACTCAGTGCGTGGCGCGCAGTCTACCTAGTACTAGGACAGTGGGCGCGCTGGTCCGTAGGTTGGAGAGGCGGGCGCGGTATCGCGCCGCAACCTCGCCGAAGAGGCGACGGAGGAGCGCGTGTTACTGTAACACGCCGGAGGTGCAGCGGGGGCCGGCGAGGAAGGACTGGGTGGGGATTCGGAAGCCCGCGGGGAGCGCGCGGAGTCCGGGGAGGGCGGAGGTGGCGGTGGTGGGGAGGGGGATCACTTTGTCTACGTCCCTCGGAGCTGGGGACTGGGCTGTCATGGAGGAGGGAAGGGGAGGAGCGAGGCCTACCCGGGCTGCCGCGGGGCTGTCTGCCGGCCGGACCTGCTGCGTCGCGCTCGCGCCGGTCCCATTCATTTATCCTCTCGCGGCGCGCACCACTTCAGGCGCATTGGTCTAGGTTTTCTTTCTTACAGTTTATTGGAAATAGAAGCAGCATTTAAGATCTTTTTTTTTGATGTTGTTTTTCTTTTTTCCCGTCTGTCTATACTACTGGCTCTCTTAATGTAGGCGCCATTTAAACTTAGTTGAAACACATTTTATCACAGAAAGTTGGTGGTTACGTCTAAGGCAGAGGATGTTTCTTCGTAGTTCTTTTTGGCACTGGTTCACAGAAATTTCTGGGTCTTTACGTTTTGGGAATGTTACACTATGTAACAGTGTTTTAGATGTATAATTCAATATCTTAGCAGAAAAATCTTTGACACTTTGGAGCCAGTTCTAGACCTTTCTGGCTAGGTACTTTTGTGTGTTTTTATGGTTTCTTATTTTGATAAGGGTTTGTCAGTTTGATTTGAACTTTCAAAGACATAATTTTATAACAATGAAAAGAGCTATAAATTACAAAAAAATTACATTAATGCAAAATGTTCACCTTGTTTCTGCATGATTGCTTCTTTACTGTCACCAGCTTTTATATATGTTTTCCGAGATTTGTTTGGCTGTAAAACTGTCTCAAGTTGCTAGTAAAATCAACCGACTTTAAGGCAGTGTTATATAACAATGAGGGATATGTGTGTAAAATTCAAATTAAGAACTTGACAGGATCTGATGCCTATTTTTAATTTCAAAAAGCATAGCTGGTGATGAAGGCAAAGAATGAAAACTTCTAAAGAGTAAAATAATATACTGTATTGTGACATTTTGGTAACATTTAGATACTTTGAATTTTGCACTGTTAGGTTTTGTTTCAACAGCAGACTAGAACTACAGAATAGTAAAGGACTATTTTGAGCCAGTAATATTTATAGCCACTGATGGGTTCAGGATGGCTTTACCAAGTGTTAAGATACGAAGTTATACAAAATGTGATTCAACCTTGTTCAAATAAACTTCTAAGGAGCTTGATTTAGAGTGTTGTGGTCCCTGGCATATGATATTCTAGTACTGACCCAGGAAGATTTGGACAATGGTGAGTTTAAATTTATGAAGATGATAGTTCCAAAAACCTAAAATATGTGAAGGTAGAAACCTAGATTAAAACTGTAATTGTTTGGGATAATACGTAAAACAGTATTGAAGTGTTTGTTTTTGTGACATTTGCATAATTTTACTACTTTTAATGCACCTTTGACTGCAGGATAGTCGTGGAGAAATCTTCTTGACAGTTTTATTATTTATTTTTAGTGCTGAATATTGAACCCAGGACTTTTGGTACAACCTCAGCCCCAGCAGTTTTAAATGGCTTTTTTTTTTTTTTTCAGAACCGGGGATTGAACTCAGGCCCTTGTGCTTGCCAGGGAAGCGCTTATTCTACTGAGCCATCTCCCTGGCCCTTAAATGGCTTTTTTTTTAAATAACTGATTAGTACAGTACTATATTGGATTGCCCCTGCTGAAGCCTGTAAAAGTTGTATTTGCTGGGCCAGGGAGATGGCTCGGTAGACTAAGTGCTTCCCTAGCAAGTGCAAGCATCTGAGTTGAAGCCCTGGTTCTGCAAAAAAAAAAAAACAACCACAAAAAAAAAACAAGTTTTATTTGCTTATTTCTACTTTAAAAGTAGAAATTCACAAAGTAGGTGAATTTTCTTAATACTTTTCTTTTGTGCAAAGAACCATGAGTTTTTATTTATATTTTACTTCTCTTCCCACCTTTTGTAGACACTTGCACATTTTTATAGAAATTACAAAAAATCAGTCATTTTTAGTTTGATATTAATGTGTGACTTTAAGTGTATATGAGTTTAGTTACATTTATATGGCTTGGGGCTGGGGAGATGGCTCAGCAGAATAAGCACTTCCTGGCAAGTGCAAGGGCCTGAGTTATATCCCCGGTTCAAAAAAAAAAAAAAAAAAAAAAAAAAAAGAAAATGGCTTATACATATTGAGTCACTTCAAAGAGATATTAAAGAAAACCATTTTACTTCTTTATAGGTAATATATCAGAATCTTGGTACTTTGGACAGAGTACTCTTGTCATTTAGATGGCATTTGAATTGTGGCTACTTCAAAATTATTAAAGAAGTTTCCCTAGGACAGACCATTTTACTGCTAGTGGCTCCTGCTCTTTACAGCTTTATCTTAGCTGTGTATTGTTTGCTGTTCAACTGTTCTTAGTTCTTTTCATTTTTTTGTTGGTCCTGGGAATTGAACTCAGGCCCAGAGGCTGTGCTGCTGAGTGATATCTCCAGCCTTTTCATTGCATTTTTAAGAAGTTTTTATTCCTTTAGTCAAACTAAAGGAAAGTAATTTTTTCTCATTTTGGATATTTGAATTGTAGAGTACATTGATTTCATAAGTGAATCAAATTGGAGAACCAGCAAACCTAATATTTACAAACATAATGTATTTTGTATTGCAAAGCATTTAAATGAGATTTAAATACATTTTGTGCAATAAAGATTACACAATGTAATAAAGATTGTGTAATAAAGATTTTGTATAATAAAATTAATGTAATTAAACTTCAATTTATGTTCTAAATACGAATAACCTTTTTTTTTTTTTCTTTTTTTGCGGAACTGGGGATTGAACTCAAGGCCCTTGTGCTTGCCAAGCAAACACTTATTCTACTGAGCCATCTCCTCGGCCCCAATATGCATAATTTTTGACTTAGAACAATTCACTCTATGTAGTTTACATGCTGAAGTTGCATAGAATCATATATCAAATGCATTATAAATTTATTTTATTTTATTTTTTGGAACCGAGGATTGAACTCAGGCCCTTGTACTTGCCGGGGAAGCACTTATTCCACTGAGCCCTCTCCCTGGCCCCTTGTATTATAAATTTAATCTAATTTGAATATGAAAGTATGGGCAAATAGCCCTTTTTTTTTTTTTGTCGAACCGGGAATTGAACTCAGGCCCTTGTGCTTGCCAGGCAAGCACTTATTCTACTGAGCTATCTCCCCAGCCCTCAAATAACACTTTTATAAAACACTGTTTAATTTAAAACTTCTAAGTCTAGCTGAAAAATAGCAACAAGATAGCTTAAATTTTATTCTGATTTTTCAATAGTGTTTAAATATGACAATATCAATTATGATGGTCTAGACAGAGCTAGTAGTACTCTTGTGTTGCATGTAAGTTAGTGCTGTGCATGCACATCTTTTCTTCCTGCTAGGAAATTCACAGCTGCCTTTGGTTAGTAACTCTTGATCATTAACAAGAAATAGCTTAAAAATGGCCTGTTCCTTCAAAAGTCTGTGGTCATGTCTGGGGAGAAAAAGGATCATTTCTGTCTTAAATACTGATACTGAAAAAAAATACTGATACTTATCTTTATTCTTTCAGAATCTGAGACTGTAGTCAGAAACAAATTGTTCACCCACACGCATTTCTATATATGTGTGTATTATTTTACAGAAACAATGGGAACCTGAAGTTTAGCTACACTATTCAGTAAGTTTCTTCTATCAAATCATGACAAACCTAACTACTGTTGTATTTCCAGGGGTATAGATTTACAGTTCTACACAACTTTTTTTTGAGACAGAATCTTGCTACATAGTTTAGGCTGGCCTTGAACTCACAGTTATCCTGCCTCAACTTCCTGTGCACTGGGATTATAGGTGTGCACCATCAGCCCCCCATCCCCACCCCTCAGCTTAAAAAGTCACTTTTTGAAAAACTCCTTGCAGGCTAGGTGTGAGCAAGACTGTCACACAAAAATGATGTTTTTAGGCACAACCTATTTATTAACGTGTGTGTGTGTGTGTGTGTGTGTGTGTGATTCAGTAGATTGAACTCTTGTCTACTCACTGAGCTGCAGTTTTTGTTTTGTTTTTTTCATTGTGAAGAAAGGTCTTGGTCTTCAGTTGCTCAGGCTGGTCTTGAAATTGAGATCCTTGTACATCAGTCTCCTAGAGTGCTGGGATTTCAGGCCTGTGTCACCAGGCCCAGCTAGAAGAGCTATGTTTGTTATTCGATTTCTTTCTTTCTTTCTTTCTTTCTTTCTTTCTTTCTTTCTTTCTTTCTTTCTTTCTGATGCAGTATGAGAGATTGAAACTATGGCCTCAAACAAACTAGCCAAGTTCTCTACATAGCTCCATTGCCAGGCCTATTTTAAAAGTTTATTTTAAGGTAGGGTCTTGCTCG